TGCAGAGTCACAGGATCTGACTGTAGATCAATGCGGATCTTTGTTCAAGTGTCCGCAGCACTTACACACACACACACACACACACCCCATCTTACCTCATCCTCCGTTCTCTGCTGAGGCAATGTGGCATTATTATTATGTGTTTATATTTATGTCTACATTTGTATTTGTAGTTTTTGCTTCTATAAATATTTCGTTATTTTATGTGTGTATATATTTATGTGGTGTTGTGAAAATGTATATACTCACCTGAATACTTACCCATCCATATTTGTAATGGGTTTTAACAAAAGGGGCGGGACTTGGACTATAAAAAGGAGCCCCAAAGGGATATTTGAGGTCAGTTATCCTGGCGAGCGAGCGTGCAAGTGTGGTGCCGTGAGCGATATTTCTTGTCATTGGAGTAGTTTGCGTGTATGTATATATATATATATATTACTTTTTTTTTTTTTCTCCGCTTTGTTCTTTTGTTTAGTTTTTTTGTTGGTTTGTTATTTGATTTTTCTTTGTTACTTTTGTATATAGCTTTTGGTCGTTTGTCTACGGGGACTGTTTCACCTCTCTAGCACTGTAAATAAACATCACTTTACACCTTACATCTCTGCGAGTATTGCCATATTTTTTTTGGATTATTATTTTTTTTTTGGGCAAACCCGGTTTCGCCTGACAGCGGGCCTGCGAAGACCCGTTGTCTCACAGACCTTATGTATGAATGCTTAGATAGGTGTCGTATAGCTGATGTGAGCTTGACTAACGTGACCTGCCAGAACTAACGCTACGCTAAATTTCTCAACATTTTTGACTCAAAGGCCCCAAATCGTCTACAATAATCTTCATGATTTTCCAATTGTTCATGGTTTAATCATTAGGGATTTGGATTTTCAAGAATATTTTTTACTCACAATTTCTGATAAAATATTTTAGAGCTTGGCATATAGAAAATGTATATTTATAAAACGTAATTAAAAACTCATAGGTCTTGAAATTAGGCTACCTCAGTTTTCTAAAGAGTGGGAACCCTGGTTCTTGAAAGACACAAATAGTTGTTGAGAGGTTGAACTAAAGTAACAAGTATCTTAATTTTTAAAGTTTATTCTCGGTCTTATTTTAAATCATCTTGAGGCTGCCTGGTTGAGAACCACTGCTTAAATTACTGTAGTTTTTTTCCTGTGCCCTCAATTTCATCCTCCTGACTTCATCCTCTAGGAAGTGAAATCATTTGTTGAAGGATAACAGTACCACAAAAATAAATATTAGCAAGATTAATTGGTTTGTTTGATTTGTATAGCACTTTCAAAAGATGGTTATTCTCAAAATGAACTTTCATTTGGCACCTTCGTCTAAGCTAACAGCCCATCTCTCACTGATTAATAGCTAACTTTAAGTGTAACTTTTTATTACCATTCTTACCATACTGGCATTTGAAGTTTGCAGTTTGGCACTCAATTTAACTTGTTTTGTTTTTGTTTTTTTTCTATAAAAAAAAGCATTAAAACATTTTAGAATGCAGTGCTAATAAATTCACGTGTTTGTAAGTAAAATAAGGAAAGAAGCAACACACTTTTTAAAATGTCAACATTTAATGAGCTTCACCACTGTACTTCAAATCTACACTCTGAAAAGAGACCGGTGATTTTTCAAAACACAGAACACATCCACAGAGTCCTTCCGGTCCCTAAGAATCACCTCCTCTGCTTTCAGGGCATCGAAATGCCAATTTTACATTATAGTCATATATGTCGTAAAATGTATTCAAATACCATTAACTCGGGAGTATAAACTTCAAACTTTCTTATAAAAACTTGACAGCAAGTGCAGTACCTTCCCCATTTGGCCGACCGAGCTTGCGTGTTAAGTTTCTTCTCACAGGCTCTGTTTGAATCCACACGTTATCTTAGGTACGCCCGCTTCTTACACCCTAACATTGCCACGTATTTTGTACATTTATCTCATCCGACGCTCTCGGTGAAGGATACCATCTTAATCAACGTGGGTATGCTGTGTGATCTAACAGTCAGAGAACACTGGGGTGAGAGCATGGTACTTTGTACAAGGATATGATGATGGGAACCACCTCCAACCAATCGCAACTTTAATGACTTTGATTTCTTTATACAGGGTTTGATAGGAATATAAAAGTGGGAAGGGACATTCAAGTTTTAAATCTCCACATAAAAATAAAAGCGTGGAGGTAAACAACCAAGTCATTGAGCTCGAGAGGTAGAGACCAACAATGTGAATCCATTATATACATATACACAAACAGTTCAGTGTTTCTTTAAAGGAAATTAATAATAATTAATAATAATAATAATTAAAAAAGGGCTCTACTTCAATACTCATATCCACAGCTCTGCAGCACACAAGACACAATTAACATAATTGGTTATGTGTTTTTTGTTTGTTTTTGTACTTATACTGATAAAATCAAGTTTCACAGCCCTAAAAAATGTGCAGGCTAATTCAACTTCTATACAGCAGTATTACTTTTTTTGTTGTTGTTTGGCGACATTTTTTTTTTATACGTCATTTTTTTTTTGTAGATTTTTCGTTTCTATTGAAATCTACCTGCTACTCACTTATTTACATACCATGCATGCCATAGCACATTGAGGAAGAAATAAAAATAATTCTCTAAAAATATATTAAATATTTTCCATTCGTTTTCTTTTAGTCCGAGAGAGTGCAGAAAGCATTATGGGAAGTTTAAGCATGGTACAGTGAGTGAAAACTACTCCCAATTTCTTTCTAGACCCACAATATACACCATTTCCCAGGCACCCTTTTCAGATCCATCACCTCCATGAGTCTTTTAACAGAAAAAGGGCTTTTGAGGGGGGTCAAAGTAGACGACACTGAACTGACATCTACAGGATCACTATTGTGATGCCACAGTCAGTTAGAAGCATGCACGGGGTCCATACATGCACTCGCAATGGCGTTCGTTACTTGTCTTCATAGACAAAGTTTGGAAATATACCATTGCAATTATGGAATGGTTTGGTTGACCAACAGTTCAACCCATTATTTATTTGCTTTTTTTTAGTTTTTAGCCTTTAATTTGGTTTGCATGCTATTCTAGACACTCCATCAGGGAGAGCAGGGTTCAAAAGTCATCTGAAAACATAAACCTCCCCATATCATTTCGCTACATGCTAGTTGGGTTTTCAGTCTCTGTAGGAGACAAGCACCTGCGAGATTTCTGGACACGCTCACAAAGTCTCCTTCGCTTCAAATAAACCCTATCGGTATGAGCATTTTCCCTCGGGCCAATCTTGCATGCTTTGGATCCTTTTGAGTCGTTGTGCCGTTCAGTCAACAATCCAAAGTACTAAATACTGACACAACACATCCACATTCAGGAGTAATAAGAGAAGCCTACGAATCAGTATCTCTGCCAAGTGCTGCGCTAAGGAATACTGATTTGAAGAGTTGAATATGAGACGGAAAGCGAGATACGAACAAAGATAGATTGATAGAGAATAAAAGGAAGAGTGCAGAAGACAGCAAAAATGGAAGAAAGTCGTAAAAATCACACTGCCGTTGAAGGCAATAAACGTAATGAGCAGCTCACTCTAGCCAAACGAGTGGTCACAGTTCTTAAGATGCGGTCACACTAGCGATATTTCCGTTTTGCTGCCCATTTTCATTTTTTTTCCGTCGCCAATAGCATAATTATGTATGAAGCAGCTTTCTGTCGGTCGGCGCAACAAATATACATGACCAACTAGTTCTGCATCAGGTATTTTTTCAAAATGCGCAGATTCCTGAAACAACTGGACTTCGCCCTCGAAATTCCGAGCAGCGGTTAATGTGACCGCACCTTTCACAAGGTCCTTCACCTAAATTCACAAATTTATATGCATGGGCCTAATGAATAGGCTACTAATGAGGACAGCGGTTTTTTCGCCCTGGTTCTAGCGTGAGCGAAAGACAGATTCAGAGGAACTTGCCTTCTTTCCATACAACATGAAGCACTGCACTTCCTGTTTCCATGAATAAATAAAGCATGATTACTCGCACACACAGTCGTGATGAGTTTTCCTTCAGGGATACTGCACAGACTCTGCCGCCCTGCTGTTCAAATACATTCAAGTCCACAGGGGTCGACTTCGTCTGACGAAAGTACAGGTTCGTACCCTTCACGAACCTTTAGTATACTACAACAGAGCAGTGGGTATGTACGAACGGTCCCCCCGTGACCATGCCCACCCGTCCCGTGTCCCGCTTGAACTCATCAGCAGTGGTTGCTTCTATAAAACTCCATTTAGTAAGTATTACAGTACACACACACACACATACACACACACACATCAGCGACATGGCTAGTCCTAGACTCCAGTGAAATGCTACGCAGGTTTGGGGATGCCTGGGGGTCAGTAGTCCAGGGGGGGCGAGGGGTGGACGCGGGACGGGCCGCCGGAGGGATGTCCACCACCACTGTTTATCAACGCCATCTTCTCCGCCGTCCTCAGCTACTCCCAAACCAGAGGAGATGGAGGCATCTCAGAGGGCTGAGCTACTGTTGAGCTGTGGACAGAAAGAAGAGAGGGATTGTTATGTCTTGCTTTAAGGTTAAGGAGATGTCTCCATCTAGTGTTGAGACACTGACAAATAAATTGCAAAATAAGCTTGAAAAGACCCAGATTTGTCAGGACACCAAAAGTTTCAGTAGTTTTAAGCAGAGCTGGGTAGTATCTGATTACATGTAAATGTATTATGTAATCAGATTCCCAAAATTAAGTACTTGTAATTAGATTAAATTGCATTTTAAAATACTCTTAATCAGACTACAGTTACCTTTTCATTGATTACGTGATTACATATGCATACAATAGCACACTTTTCTCCCTAATTCCTCTTTTGCATCCTTTAAATGTTCCTTTCTAAAATAGTCTACCTCGTATACACACTCAGAAAGTCTTCCAGTTTTGTGGACGTTCACACAAAGACCAGTCATTAGTCAGGTGGCTACACAGCATGTGACCACTGGATTTACAAAACCATTACAGGTTTAAGAAGTGTTTCAATATTGCATCAACTATTGATTAACACAATTTTTATTTGAATTATCACTAGGTTATTTAACCTTGTATTACTATGTCATTGGGAGGCTGTCTTTCAAACACATTAAAATGCACAAATTCATGTTATTTCTTATTTACATGCAATGCAGGCATTCCTAAACTTTCACC